GTTGCAATCCAGCGGCTGTCCAAATATGCAAATCCTGGTAGGAAAGACAATGTAAATTGTTTGTTTATCCTCCTCCCTTCCCCTTGCACAGCCCCCGAGGCCATAAATTATTAACTTTTGGAAGAGATGGCATGTCCTCAACAGCAGCCGCTCCTGGCAGGGACGGGGTTTGTCACAGCTTGGGCAGGTTTTCCTGCTGGAGCGGGGAGCTGTGGTGGGGTGGATGGTACCAGGAGCTCGTCAAGCTGAACAGACCGTGTGGCCGCCGTGTTGGTTCTTTGCTTGCCCAGCAGGACGGGCTGGACTGGTCTCACCTTGCTGAGTCCTGCAAATCTGTACATAGTGAGATGGCAGCAGCATCTCCACGTTTTTAGGCAGAGAGGACGTTGTAGGAGGCTTCTGTGGCAGCAAGAGGTGATGGGGATTGTCCAAGTCTCATTTCATGCGTGTCTGGAGAAGAAAACAAATCTCTGCTGTATCTTGGCTTTGCTGTGCTGTCTGTGGAGTCCTGCGTTCTTCTCCCAGGCTTGTTTTAGAGAGAATCTAAAAAGTTTACAGTCTTTGGTACTCTTGAACACCCGCGGTCAGTTGCAGCACGCTGCCAGTCAGTGTGTTGCCCTTGCGACCGCAAAACTTCCTTGTTATTCCTCATGGATTGGGAAAAACACAGCAACTTTGGTGGTGGGGCGGCCTTTGCTTTCGCTCCTGCGCCCACATGTTGCTTGCGAGCCCTTTGCTCTGTCTCCAGGTTGCAAGCTGAGATTTTGAGTTAGATTCTTTTTCCTACCTCGCCCTCCTCCCCTCACAGCCCCCCCCGGCCCCAAAATAAAACTGGCATTTGGCTGCTATGAAATCACCTGTAATCTGTTTGTGCTTCTTCCAGATCCGAGCAGATGGTCCTCCCCATGGTGGAATTCAGTATGAAATGGTGACAGTTTTCAAGGACGGGAGCCCAGTCCTTCGAGACATGGCCTTCTCCATCGATCAGAAGTATCTGTACGTCATGTCAGAGCGACAGGTGAGGCATCTGCTTCCGTACGTCCGGGGCTGCGGCTTCCCTCCCTCAGGAGTCTGTCGTTGGAGCTGAGGTTGTGTGCCAGGATCTCGTGGTGCCGGCGTCAGTACGGGTAGATGGGATATGGTTTTATCTGCCTCTACCCAGAGATTGTCATCAGTGCACGGAGCGGGGAGAGTCGTGCCCAGTTCGCTGTCTGCAGGTGTTGGAAGCCAAGAGCTGCTGCAGAGGAGATGCTGGTTGGGGCTCTGCACCATCCCTGCCTAGATAAAGAGATCCTGAGCCACCAGCAATACGGATTCTCACCCTGCAGCGAGGCTGGCAGGCTGTGGGTTTTTTTGCATAGCTTTGAGCATCCTTTATGATGGCTCGGTTCATTTATTTATTTATTTTAAGTATTTTAAGTGGCTGCGAGCGAGTGCTGCCCATGCACAGAGGTGGGACCCACCATGGAGAAGGTTTGTGCTCTGTGAGCAGTGTTAACGCGTAGTCTGCGCTGTGCCCTCTGTTGCCGTGCCAACTCTGGAGGTGGTGCCCACCCTGGACCAAAAAAAACGCGACCGAAGTGGTTGTGATGGGAATTTATGGCCGGCGGTCCATGGGAGTCAGTGGCTTAGCGGAGCCGGCGCAACATAAATAGTCTGGGACCTTCTGTTCTTCTCCGAGACAAGCAAACACGCAAAGTCTCCACCATTAAGCCAGACTTCTGGGTTCACTGACTGTGTTGAGCATTTTATTGGCTATTACTCACGACTGTGTGATTCAGATTAATAGAGCTGGTGCTTTGTGGGTGGTGGAGACAGGAGAAAGGTTGCATCTGAAGATGTCTGGATGCTATTAAATTGTTCTGTGTTGAGCTAACCCTCTGGTCACTAACAGCTTTCCCTGACTGCTGGTAAACAAAGACCTGTCCTCCCTCCCACCTGCTGCCAGGGAGATGCTTCAGAGGGGTATCAGTGGGACCTGCTGATGGAGGTAGAAAGCGAGCAGCTATCGTAGCAGCTCGCCTCACACTTGGGAGCTTACAGCTCTCCCAACGCCAGCAAAAGTGTTTTGCTAACCTGTAACAAAACAAGAAAAATTGGCAAACGCTTAGCTCGGTTATAAAGTTATTTAAAGTGAGGAAATAAATACTTTATAAGAGTGCTAAGTCTTCTCTCTGCTAAAAGACTTAACTGAATGATTCCCTGTGGTTAAAGAAGCATTATATGCTTATTAGAGCAACTCACTGCTAGAAACTGCCATGAACGGCCACAAATCTAGGATCCCATTCCAGCTTGGACTTGGACGTTAGTGTTGAGGATCTAAGCAAACTTTGAAATTGAATTATTTTATTAAAATGCTAATGCTGTGGTCATTTTCTCCAGGAGCAGTGTGCTCCTCGTGCTCTCGCCAGGGAGGAGGGGATCCAGCATGTATCTCAAATAGTTGAGGAACTGTTTTCCTTAGGAGGAAAATCCGGTGGGAATGCCTCCAGCTCATCTTTTATGAGGCGAGAGCATCTTAATATTCATCAAAGTGCTAATTTGCTTAATTGTGAAACAAAAAAGATGTGAAGAGAATTAACAAATAATAGAATATTCCTGTGACGTTAATTCCATTTCCAGCCACGGCTCTGGCAAAGCTGTTGCCTTGGGGGGAGGCTCCAGGAGCGGGGGGATGCCGTCCGTCATTCCTTCCAGCTCTCGCTGTAGGCTTTGCCTTTTGCCCTTGCAGAGGTGCGTGCTTTGGGTCCAGAAGTCCTGGCGTGCTGTTACATATGGATTTTGTCAGCTCCTGTGACCCCACTGCCCTAATCCTGGCAATCTGATAGTTCAGCAAAGTGGAAGGGAGAATGTATTTTTTTCCGGAGTGCTATAGAAAGGAGCCCGGTGATTGAAAAGGGGTCACTACCAAGAGGAGGAGAAAGGTCCACCAGCTTCAGAGGGCTGAGGCTGTAAATGGTGGGAAGTGCCCTCAGAAGTACCGAGAATATACAGTAAAAATGTCTTCTGAAGTCTTGAAATCTGGAACAGAGTGAAATCCTGCCACAGTAAAACGCCACAGAGAGCAGCTGTTCTCAGCGCTGATCCACTGCATGTTAACGTATTGGGGGAGGATTGTCCAGAGCCTGCGATTTGAAATATCTGCTGAGGAAGAAACAGGATACGTGCCTGTGTCAAAACATCTCTCAAAAAGATGGGATGGATTTGTGTTTTTTTCGGTGGAGTTCAGCCAAGAAGCGTGTGCTCCCCAGCGCCGGTGGGCAGCAGGTCCTGAGCTCTCGCCGTTAGCGTGGAGCAGCGACGAGACGCGGCGCTTCTGCTCGAGAAACCGAGAGGTGTGGGCGCTTCCCAACAAAGAGTAGATGTAACGTTTTGGTATGAAGCCCATCTCCCTTCTGTGCAAGCGGCAGCTAGGATCAGCTTGATGCTGAAACGCGCTGGGGAAAGCAGTCGCTTCATCCTAAAATCTGGAGCTGTGGTTGTAGGCACAGCCCTTCCCCACTCCCCTGGCTCCCGTCCCAGCCCTGTCTGCGCCGCGCTCCAATTTATCCGCAATCCTTTTGAGCTCCCCGTGAGCTTTTCATGTTTCATTGCCAACTTCTTCCAAAGCAGAATATTTGACATTTGATTTCACTCCCACAAAGCACAGAAGCAACAGTTGCGTAGCCCAGGCCGGGGGAGACGGGGATAAAGAAACTTTGCTTCCAGCCACTTATTCTGACTTCTTTAACCGCGTGATTTAAAGGTGCTTATTAGGAGCTTTTACAGGCTCTGTTCCCACTGCACCTGGTTTCGAACAGCTCTTACAGCAAAAGAGAAATTATTCTGACCCTATTTAAAGCAGAAATTTGCTTCCCAGCATTGCTTTAGCAAGCAAACACCGCTTCTGCCCATGGGCTGAGTGAGCCTGGGGTAGCGCTGGGTGCTGCCGAGGTGGAGACGTGCTGCCTCGGCGGAGCTACG